CTCCCATGAACCCTAGAGCACCCTGGTGAGGGTATAGAGCTGGTCCAGTGTACCACGGCCCAGAAGAAAACCGCATTGTTCCACCTGGATCCTAGGTTCAACCATCGGCCGGATCCTCCTCTCCAGTACCCTGGCATAGACTTTCCCCGGGAGGCTGAGGAATGTGGTCCCCTATAGTTGAAGCACACCCTACAGTCCCCCTTCTTAGAAATGGTTAACCAATAGAGTAAAATTGATTACCAAACCTACAATAAAACTAAAAATCTAATCATAACAGAAAACACGAAAATAAAACCACTAAAAATATCAATAAAACATAACGCAAGTATCCTAAAACTCAGATAACACACATGCAGCAGATAAACCGGTCTCCTCATGCAATATTAATAATACGCTTTCAACAAGACGGGGATATTTTGGCCTTAAAACGTACAGTATTTTCCAAGCGCATCTTGCCTGTCAGACTAATGACTGCTCTGAGATCTGCTGATGTATAATTCAGCGCTTGCTTCGCTTTATTCCTGCGTATTAAAGCTGAATAATAATAAACTCCTCCATTAATAGACATCAGACGGCATTTGTTTGGCAGGAACAGTGTTTGTTTGTGTGCCCAGAAGTGATTAAAACTCAATCTTGTTAGAAAACATGGGTGAGAATTCCTCAGAGACGCTTTATTTTACTTTAATGAACTCCTTTCATGATTTTCAACATGTATGACAGGTTATATACACTTGAAAAACACTACTATATACAGCTGAAAGCAGAAGTTTACATCCACTGTATAGAAAGGCACATAACCATTTAAAGAAAGTCAGCTGTTAATGTGACTAAACTTTTCCTCTTTCAGGTAAGTGAGGATGATCACATGTGTTTCTGTTCTGCTTAATAGCAGAATAATGAGAGAGATATTGTTTGAGAAATTGTTATAACTTTTCTTGAAAGTCGTTTACACACAATAAGATTAATCTGCCTCTGGAAAAGCTCAGATGATGATGTCAAGGTTTTGGAAGTCTCTGATTGGCTAATTGACAACATTTGAGTTAATGTGAGGCACAACTGTAGAATAGTATTGAAGGAAAAGCTCAAACACACTGCTTCCTTGTGTGACAACATGGGAAAATCAACAATCCAGAATCAACAACAAAGCCAGATTACAATTAGCTGAATTACACTGGGAAAAAGATTTGGAGACATGTCCTGTGCTCTGATGGAGATAAGATCGAACTGTTTGGCCATAATGAGCAGTGATACATTTGGAGGACAAAGGGGAAAGCTTACAAGCCTAGAAACACCATCCCAACTGTGAAGTATGGGGGCGGCAGCATCATGTTGTGGGGCTGTTTTGCTGCAGGAGGGACTGGTCCACTTCACAGCATAGATGGCATCATGAAGAAAGAACATGATGGAGAAATACTGAAGCAACATCTCAACACATCAGCCAGGACATTACAACTTGGCCACAAATTGGTCTTCCAAACAGACCATGATCATAAGCACACTGCCAAATTAGTTCACATGTGCTTTAAGGACGACTGAGTGAATGTTTTGGAGTGGCCATCACAAAGCCCTGATCTCAATCCTGTAGAAAATTTGTGGGCAGAGTTGCAAAGCTTGTGCGAGCAAGACAGCCGACAAATCTGACTCAGCTACACCAATTCTGTCAGGGGGAATGAGCCAAAATTCCTGCAAACTATTGTGAGAAGCTTGTGGAAGGAGACCCAAAACATTTGACCAAAGTTATAGAGTTTAAAAGCAAAGCTAAAAATACCAAGGAAATTTGTGTAAACTGTTGACTGTCTAGAAATTTATAAAAATTCTCTGATTATTCTGGAATTTAGCTAATGTAAATCATTTAGGTAATCCTAACGGACCTAAAATAGTAAACAATTAGTATTATTTACCATCAGACATTTCATAAAAATGGTTCTGTTGTTTTTTTTTGAGTGCATGTAAACTTCTGGGTTCAACTATATACAGTGGACGCGGGAAGTATTCAGACCTCCCTAAATCTTTCACTCTGTTATTGCAGCCGTTTCTTAAAATGATTTTAAGTTCATTTGTTTCCTCGTTAATGTCCACACAGCAGCTCACACTGACAGAAAAACTCAGAATTGTTGACATTTTTGCAGATTTATGAAAGAAGAAAAACTGAAATATCACATGCTCCTCAGTTTGGTGCTCATGTGCTGTCCAGTTCTTCTGATCGTCCTTGAGATGTTCCTACACCTTCATTTGAGTCCAGCTGTGTTTCATTACACTGAATGGACTTGATTAGGAAAGCCACACACCTGTCTTTATAAGACTTTACAGCTCACAATACATGTCAGAGCAAATGAGAATCTTGAGGTCAGTGTTCAAACTATACCATGGCCTTTGGGGAAGCTCACGTTTTTTTTAATGGGGCTGGAGGGGTTGTTGGCGGTGTCGCTTTGAAAGTCCTTTGCTTGTATGACCATGTGATACTTCAGTTTTTTTGTTTTAATAAATCTGCAAACATGTC